CCGTCTGTGTTTGAGGCTGTAACACCCCTCAGCCCATCACTGTCCGTGTTTGAGGCTGTATTTGAGGCTGTAACACCGCTGTGCCCATCACCGTCCGTGTCTGAGGCTGTAACACCGCTGTGCCCATCACCGTCTGTGTTTGAGGCTGTATCACTGCTCAGTCCATCACTGTCCGTGTTTGAGGCTGTATCACCGCTGTGCCCATCACCGTCCATCCTTGAGGCTGTATCACCCCTCAGCCCATCACCGTCCGTGTCTGAGGCTGCATCACCGCTCAGCCCATCACCGTCCATCCTTGAGGCTGTATCACCGCTCAGCCCATCACTGTCCATCCTTGAGGCTGTAACACCCCTCAGCCCATCACCATCCACCCTTGAGGCTGTAACACCCCTCAGCCCATCACTGTCCATCCTTGAGGCTGTAACACCCCTCAGCCCATCACCGTCCGTGTCTGAGGCTGTAACACCCCTCAGCCCATTACCGTCCTGTCTGAGGCTGTATCACTGCTCAGCCCATCACTGTCCATCCTTGAGGCTGTATCACCGCTCAGCCCATCACCGTCCATCCTTGAGGCTGTATCACCCCTCAGTCCATCACCGTCCATCCTTGAGGCTGTAACACCGCTCAGCCCATCGCCGTCCGCGCCTGAGGCTCTGACAGCGCTCAGTCCCGGCCCCGTGCCTCAGTTTCCCCGCCCGCCGCCTCCCGCGCTGCCCCTTTAAGGCTCCTCCCGCGGGAGGCGGCGAGCGCCCACATCCGGCCGCGTCCGGAAGCGCGGGCAGCGCCGCGGCCTCAGGGCGGCACCGAGCGGGGCCGGGCCGGGCCGGGCGGACCGAGGGGCCCGCGGGAGCGGCGTGAGGTGAGCGGAGCGAGCCGCGAGCAGCGGGACCGTCCGCTCGCCCCGCACCGCTGGAGCCGCCGCCGCCGCCGCGCTGCTGCTCGGACGCCTTTGTGTGGGTCCCTCACGGCGCCTCAGGGCAGGCCGGTCCCGCTTGGCGGGAAGGGACGGAGGCGCCGGGCAGGGCGGCTGAGGCGAGGCGGGCGCTCCAGGGGTTGGGATCGGGGTTGGGATGGGGCCAGCGGCGGCTCCAGCCGCGAAGCCGAAAGTTTGTGGAGCTTTGGGCGTTCGGTGCGCGGGAGGCTCCGCAGCCGGCGCGGGCCGTCGGTGGCAGCGTTACGGGGCACGGTGCTGCTCGCTGCTGGGGCTCGCTCCTTTCAGCCATTCCCTCCCTTAACGGGCAAATGTTCACGCGTTTTATGAGTGAAAGGCGAGGCAAACATCCGCCTTTGAATGACAGAAGGGATTCTCTTGAAAGTCGTACTTACCGCTTCAGTGAAATGTACTAATGCCATAAACCTAAATATCAAAGTAGTTCTTAAGTGTGAGCTGAACAGATTTCTGCTGTCTGGAAAAAGGTTATGTCAGGTGAGGGTTGGCCTCTTATCCCAGTCAGTGACAGGAGTGGACAGAGCAGTGCCAGGGGAGGTTCAGGCTGGGCATCAGGAGATTCCTTCACTGAAAGAGTTCTGCAATATTTGAGCATTGGAACGGGCTGCCCAGGGCGGTGGTGATGCCACCATCCCCGCAGGTGTTCAGCTGGATGTGCTCAGTGCTCTGCTCTGGGTGACAAGGTGGTGTTTGGTTGCAGGTTGGATTCGGTGATCTCAGAGGTCTTTTCCAGGCGGGCTGATTCCGTGATTCAGTGGTCTGATTTCTGTTTTGCTCTAGATCTTTGAAACACCACCGAGACTTGGTCACCAGGGGGTGGATTGCTGAGGATACGGCTCTGCCCTCTGCACTCAGGATATGTATGGCTGAAGGGCTCAGCCCCTTCCCTGGCTGCAGGGCAGCGCTGTTCTCCTTCCCACCATGTGACCTGGCACACCTGCACAGCAAATAGCTCCTTTTTTCAAAGGTAAATGCCACAATTGTTGGGTTTTCCCAGTATATTTTTATGTATGAGGAAACTTACGGCTTTGCTTTATCTGCTTTTGTTATGCTGAAGAAAACAAGTAGTTGCCACCTTTCTTTCTGTATAATTAGTTGTAGAGTTCATGCTTTTGCAGCCTTCCATTGTCTGAAGGGGCTTACAAGGAAGCTGGAGAGAGACCCTTCATTGGGAACTGTAGTGATAGGACAAGGGGGAGTGGTTTCAAACTGACAGAGGGCAGGGTTAGATTGAGTATTAGGAGATGGTTCTTCCTGTGAGGGTCTTGAGGCCCTGGCACAGGGTGCTGTGGTTTCACCTGGATCCCTGGAAGTGTCCAAAGCCAGTTTTGGATGGTATTGGAGCAGCCTGGGACAGTGGAAGGTGCATCTGCCCATGGCAGGGAGTGGGATGAAATGATCCTTAAGGTTCCTTCCAACCTAGACTGTTCTGTGATTCCAGTGTTCTGTGGAATTTTTCAGGCTAGCAGGATCTGAGATGACTCCATTGCTGCTCAGTGAAGGATTTTTGTTTTTAGAGGAAAGCAATCTGTGGTGAGAATTTTAGCACTCTTTCTGTCTATAAAAATAACAAAGACAGGAAAGTTCTGCATAAATATCCTTTGCTTGTGACAACAGGGATTTGTTGACCTATAAGTTTTAGCAGTAAATTAAGAAAAGAAGCTAATTAAACTTTGTGCCACTAGACCTAGATTCCAGAGTCACCAGTAAAATAATGTAAAGAGCTTTGCATTGTAGCTCTGGAAATCATGCAATGTGTGGGTAAGGAGATAATATTTTTTTTAACATAAAATGAGTTTTCACCCTTTTTCCCCCCTAGTTTGCACATTTGACTACAGTGCTTTACTTTTACTGTGTGCTATTCCACAGGCACTTTTTGTGTGATGTCCCTTTAA